TTGGACTCGGGTGCGAATGGTCACATGACAGGTGAGGCCCATCACTTCACCACTTTTGACGAGCCGTTACATACACAGGTTCAGTTAGCAGATGGAACACATGCCCCTATTGTTAGTAGGGGTACAGTCCGTCTCCCAGATGGCCTTACATTACATTCGGTTTTTCATGCGCCAAAGTTGGCCATGAATCTATTATCTGTACATCAGTTAGCCAGAGATTTTCACTGTGCGGTTGTATTCTTATCTGATTCGTGTTATTTGCAGGACCTGAGTACCAGGAGGATTATTATCAAGGGACATGAGAAAGATGGACTGTATTATCTTGGCAATCCATCTCCAGTTTCACCAATTCCTTCACCTGCACCTGCTTTGTCTTTTTCTGTTCCTAGCTTGCATGCTAGTATTTTACCTAGTAGTTGTCGTTATGATTTTTCGTCACAAACTGTTCAATTGTGGCATGACCGTTTTGGACATACAAATTTTAAATATTTATGTATGTTGTTTCCTGCTTTGAGTAATGCTTGTGTTGGTGGTAAACTTGATTGCGTTATCTGTTCCCTATCAAAACATGTTAGGGCCAATTATATTCCTCGCATGCACCAGTCACCCAAGCCATTTGACCTAATACACTCTGATATTTGGGGACCCTCTCCCGTTACTGCTCTGTCAGGTGCCAGATATTATGTGACATTTATAGATGATCATACCCGTTGTACTTGGGTCTACCTTTTGCATAGGAAGTCTGATGTGCTCCCTATAATCACTCAGTTTTTACAGATGATTAAGACACAATTCGATGTCATTGTTCGTGCTCTTCGTTCGGATAATGCCAAAGAATATGTGTCTGATGCTTTAGTGTCTCACCTTTCTTCTCAGGGTATCCTTCAGCAACTCACTTGTCCATATACTCCTGAGCAAAATGGTGTTGCTGAGAGGAAAAATAGGAGTTTGATAGGGATGGTACGTTGTCTGCTTAGAGGCATGAGGGTACCAAAATCTTATTGGCATTTTGCTGTTTTGACTTCTACCTTTCTGTGCAATCGTACGCCGAGTCGTGTTCTTCAGCATAAGGCTCCCTTACAGGTCTTATTTCCTGAGCGGACACTTTTTCCGGTCCCCCCTCGTGTTTTTGGATGCACATGTTTTGTTCAGGATCGGTCTCCTACTCGTCATAAACTTGATGATAAAGCGATTCGTTGTATCTTTGTGGGCTATTGTCATCAATCTAAGGGGTATCGATGTTATGATCCTATTAGGCGTCGTATGTATCACAGTCTAGATGTTACCTTTCTTGAGCATATTCCTTATTTTCCTTTCAGTCCTTTGTCTGCCCCTCCAGTTGATGATACTCCCTTTGATTTTCCATTACCACAAGAGTCAGAGTCATTGATCACTATCCCTACAGGGTCATCCGTTTTTCCTCCCAAGGAGTCACTCATCCCTGTCAGTACAGAGTTACCAGTCTCTCTTCCTTTGCAGGTGTATGCTCGTTGTCCTCGCTCTCATCACCCTGCTGATATCCCCTCTACCTCAGGCGATGCAGGTAATACTTCTCAGTTTGTTGAGCATATTGATGCACCTGTTGTTAGTACTGATGAGATTACAGGTGCTGAGCCAGTTACTTTACCTGATAAGATATTATCAGTAGAGGATGGTGATTTAGGGCGTCGTTATCCAAGGCGTGATCGCCGTCCAGTTGATCGATATGGTTGGACCGCCAAGATTTTATATCCGATCTCTGCTTATGTTTCTTATGGTAATCTGTCTCCCACATTTCGAGCTTATACTATGGCCTTATCAGATACGCTGGTTCCTCGCTCTATTTCGGAAGCTATGCGGGAGCCCCAATGGGTTCTTGCCATGCAGACAGAGATGGACGCTCTTCAGCGTAATCATACATGGGATCTTGTCTCCTTACCTTCAGGGGTGAAGCCTGTTGGCTGTCGCTGGGTTTACACCCTGAAGTTTCTTGCGGATGGTACTATTGATCGTTACAAGGCTAGACTTGTCGCGAAGGGCTTTACTCAGGTACCAGGTCGTGATTTTGGTGCTACATTTGCCCCCGTGGCAAAATTGACTACTGTTCGGTTAATTATTTCTCTGGCTGCGGAGTACTCTTGGCCTCTTCATCAATTAGATGTGAAGAATGCGTTTCTTCACGGTGATCTGGACGAGATTATTTATATGGATGCACCACCGGGCTTTCGTGGTGAGGGGGAGTATGCTGGAAAGGTATGTCGACTGCGTAAGTCTCTTTATGGACTGAAACAGTCGCCACGAGCCTGGTTCTCTCGCTTCAGTGATGTAGTCATACGATTGGGGTTCACCAGGTGTCATTCTGATCATACCTGCTTTATTCGACGGAATACTTCTGGACAGTGTGTCATCCTTCTGGTATATGTTGATGATATTATTATTACTGGTGATGATGTTTCTGGGACTGCGCAGGTCAAGATAGACCTTGGGAAGGCCTTCGATGTGAAGGATCTTGGATTTCTGCGATACTTTCTTGGGATTGAGGTTGCCCGTAGAAGCAGAGGTATTGTTCTTTCTCAGAGAAAGTATGTTTTGGATCTTCTTTCAGACACTGGGATGTTGGGGTGCAAACCGGCATCATCACCCATGATTCCAAACCTGAAGCTTACTGCTGAAGGTGAGGAGTTGAAAGATCCGACAGTTTATCAAAGATTGGTAGGTAGACTTATCTACTTAGCCAATACTAGGCCGGACATTTCATTCGCAGTCAGCCGAGTTAGTCAGTTCATGCATAGGCCATGTCAGCCTCATCTTGATGCAGTTTATCATATTCTTCGGTACCTCAAGTCTTGTCCTGGACTTGGGTTGTTTTATGCATCAGGATCTCAGACCGGTTCTCTAGCCTGTTATTCAGATTCAGATTATGGGGGAGCATGTGATGGTCGATCTACTACGGGTTTCTGTGCTTTTCGAGGGACTCATCTTATCTCTTGGAAGAGCAAGAAGCAGGCAGTTGTCTCCCGCTCGTCCGCAGAGGCAGAGTATCGGGCATTGGCACTTGGCACATGTGAGATTATCTGGCTACGATCGATTCTTGACGAGTTGGGTTTTTCAGTGACCTCTCCATCCACATTATATTGTGATAATCAATCTGCTATTCAGCTCGCTTCTGACTCTGTACTACATGAGAGAACGAAGCATATAGAGATCGATGTTCACTTTCTTCGGGAGAAGGTCAGCAGTGGTCTTGTTACTCCATCGTTTGTGGGGACCAGTGATCAAGTTGCGGATGTTTTTACCAAACCTGTCACTCTGTCTATTCTTCGGGACTCCGTTGTCAAGCTTGGCTTAGTTGACATTTTTGCGCCTAGCTTGAGGGGGAGTGTTGGAGTATAGATAGTCTAGGTTTATTAGAATTTCTTTTCTCTTTTTTACCCTTACTATGATTTTTATATTTTGCCTAAACTACAAGGATGTTTAAGTCACTCTGTATTATTTTTGGCTATATATACGGGACTCTACTTTGAGTTTGAGTATCCCTTTTCATTCACAACTATCTCAAGTCACACACTTCGAATAATCTCTTCCTTGGTTCAATCAAATACTGATTATCTATGCCAGGACTAAGTTATTCATAAAGAATAAATTTCTCGTGATTTAATCCAAGGGGTTGTCAAAATTCAAACCGAAGTTGTTTAGATTTATAGCTCTTCTTTATTACCTCTTGAGCTACTGAAAGTGTTGATCTTTCTACTTTTTGACTCACCAGGAAGACAAGTTTTTCCTAGTTATCTCTCAGATGATTCTTTAAGATATCCTCCATAGAAAATGTACGAACATGAATAAAGATTTTTTAGGTGAAAAATCAATTTCACATTAAATATTTCAAGTTCATTATTTGGAACATTTCATTTCCGCAAACATCTCTTTCATCTTTGCTCATCAGATACTGAAGGTGTTGATCTTTCTACTTTTTGACTTACCAGTAACACAAGTTTTTCCTAATTATCTCTCAATGATTCCTTAAGATATCCTCCATAAAAAATATACGAACATGAATCAAGATTTTTTAGGTGAAAAATCGATGCCACATTAAATATTTCAAGTTCATTATCGGGAACATTTCATTTCCCCAAACATTTCTTTAATCTTTGCTCATCAGATACCGAAAGTGCTGATCTTTCTACTTTTTGACTCATCGGTCACCAATAACACAAGTTTTTTCTAATTATCTCTCGATGATTCCTTAAGATATCCTCCATAGAAAATGTACGAACATGAATAAAGATTTTTTAGGTGAAAGGTGAAAAATCAATGTCACATTAAATATTTCAAGTTCATTAAACATCTCTTTCATCTTTGCTCATCAGACACTGAAGGTGTTGATCTTTCTACTTTTTGACTTACCAATAACACAAGTTTTTCCTAATTATCTCTCAATGATTCCTTAAGATATCCTCCATAAAAAATGTACGAACATGAATCAACATTTTTAGGTGAAAAATCGATGCCACATTAAATATTTCAAGTTCATTATCGGGAACATTTCATTTCTCCAAACATTTCTTTCATCTTTGCTTATCGGATACCGAAAGTGCTGATCTTTCTACTTTTTGACTCACTAGTCACTAGTAACACAAGTTTTTTTTAATTATCTCTCAATGATTTCTTAAGATATCCTCCATAGAAAATATACGAACATGAATAAAGATTTTTTAAGTGAAAAATCAATGTCACATTAAATATTTCAAGTTCATTATCTGAAACATTTCATTTCTGCAAACATCTCTTTCATCTTTGCTCATCAGATAACATAAATAATTTGGACCATAAGATAAGTACATCTCAATTTTCACACACTGGTCACCTTTTCTAATAGTCAGTAGGGAGGGGAGCAAAAAAAAGTTAAAAAAAAAAATTACACGCGGACCAATCGCTAAAGGCCACGGACAACTTTGTCCATGCTACAAAAAAAAAAAAAATGTTACCCCACCACTGCATAATTGCACTAGACACTCAATGATAAAACTTCATGGGGTAGGCAAAGAATTAGTATAAAAAATTCGATTTCACCTGAATATGTATGCTCCATAGAAGACTTCCCTTCAAATTTCCACATTCTGCCATTGTTTCCATGATGAAACCTTTCCTTTCCCACATACCACTGATTAACAAGGACTCAACTTTCTAGAGCTTTCTTACTGAAGAGCCAAAAAGGGCAGTGGCCTCCGATGACTGGCTTGTCTCACACTTGATTCTTGTGGGGATCAACTGATGGCAGAAATGGAACAAGCAAACGAAAAAACAGGGGTGGTAATAGGAGAGGCTGCTGGTGCTGGCTCTCTTTTGTTGCAGAAATTGAAGGGATACCTTGAAAGTAAATGTTGTGCTCGAAAGTGCGAAAGCGATTCGAGGCGTTCAAGGATGAAACCCAACATCTGATCACTCAATTTGCAGAAGTAGAAAGAAACCATGGTAGTCGGTTTGATGATCAAACTACTGAAACCGATGGAAGTTTGCAAGAAGATACATGGATGGGGAGTTCAAAGGAGGTTATCTGCAATATTGAGGATGAAGTTGATCAGATCATGACCATACAGTTCTCCACCAACATCAACACTAACAATAAGCTTTTCCGGATGCTGCCTTCTTCGGGACTCGCCAATTGTCGCAGTATTAAGAAGCATTTGACAGCCATTCAGAAATTGCAGAAGGATCTGACAAGTATTGCCAATGGTGGTAGAAAATTTGGCCATCATGTGTCGCAGACAGTACACTCGCCAGCAGCTCTGGTGACCGGGGCTGATAATAACGGTGACAACAACAGCGATGACATTCAAGTGGATGTCCCCCAAGAAAACAAGGCAGTGAAGGTACAAGACGAGGCTCTGAATGCAGCAGTACATCAATGAGAAAGATTGAAGACTCTGCTACCATCTATGAAGGCAGGCGTGACATTGAGGAGAGGCTGTTACAATTCCTCACGAACGCGGAGACATCTGAGATAGTGCTTGTTACAGGAATGACAGGTGTAGGGAAAACCTTCCTCGTCCAAAGGGCATTCAATCAGGTGACACGACGTCATTTTGAACCTTTTTGGCTCTCTTATGATCCTTCCCTGGAGAAGAAAGACAATTTGGCCAATCTTTACGAGAAGATCATTATGAAAAGATGCACTTATGTAGAACTTCCAATTTACGTGCGGGAACATATGGAACTAAAAAAGTTGGAGTGGCATGCGCAACAAAAATTAGGTTTTTCAGGAAGCTTCAGGCTCGTTGTAGATGATGTTCCAGAAGTTCAAGAAGCGTGGGATTTCCTTACCAGTGCTTTGCCTCAAAGTACTGGAAGGGTAATTTTCATCACTCAGAACATTGAATCCGCGAAAGCGTTCAAATGCGACATCCCTCACACTTGCATTGAGATTGAGAAACTAAAACATGAGGATGCTTGGCGTTTGTTCAGTGAGACTGCATCCCAACACCTGGAGTACAACGATCCTTGGCGATGTCCCGAGTCTCTCAAAAAGGTTGCCGAAGCCACTGTGAGAGATTGTCATGGTCTGCCCCTTCCCATTGTCACAGTGGCCACTCAACTTGCAAATCGGGGGATGGACCCTTCTGTATGGTATACGCTGCGTGGGATTCTAATGAAGAAACCTCTCCTTCCTAAGGCAACCAATGAAACTCAAACCTATCCTTCTGATCATAGCATCAGCAATGATGCTGCTCTGATGCTCTGTTATAATGCACTGTGTTTTCCACTAAAATATATATTGTTCTACTGCTGCTTTTATTTGAGGGGTCGTGAAATACCAGAGAAGAAGTTAATACGGTTGTGTGTGGCTGAAGGCTTAGTGGAGGACACAGAAAACACGTCCGCAGAATAAGCTGCAGCAACTTGCTTGGACCGGCGGGTTTGCTGTGAACTAATTGTGAGGAGAGACATCCCTGGAAAACCTAGAACTTACAAGGTTAAAGACAAATTGAGAGAGCTTGCTCCCCATATTGTTGACAAGGAGATGTACCTTGAATTCTGCGAGCCCATACCCCAAAGGCATACTCGTCACTTGTGGATCACTTACGACACCATTAATTTCACAGTCAACTCCAGCAACACCACTATTGACTCCGTTAGCCAGGAGGATATTGCCTTTGTACGCTCTTGCTTCGTGTCCCTGTCCCAGCAGAAGTCTGGGCAGAACCCCGAAAGCAAGAACTCTGAGCCAACTGCAGAAAAGCAAGAGAAATCTGAGATGACCCACCAACAGAGAGAAGAGATTGAGCGCTCCAAATTCTTTCGATTGTTGATTGGGGGTCGCCGACTATTGAGGGTGTTAGACTTCAGAGGTGCAGAATTCATCAAAGGTCTCCCGGATCAATTGGGTGATCTAGTCCATTTACGTTATTTGGGGTTTAGGGGTACAAAAATCAAAAAACTCCCACAATCCCTGTCCAGATTACCCAATTTGCAGTGTCTAGATATCAGAGAAACAGAGGTGAGCAGCTTACCACGTTCCATGATGAGGCATGATAAGTTCAGGCATCTTCAATTTGCAAGGTCGTTTATGAGAAAGGTGGTGGATATGCAGCTGACAAAGAAACTAGAAGCTCCCCACCTGCAAACCCTTGCAGGAGTAAAATCCACCAATCCTTTGCTGAAAACGCTTGGACAATGGATTCAACTCCGGAAATTATCAATTGGTCACGTTAAAGGTTGTCAATCCTCCAACTTATGTGCTTCCATCAACAACATGACACTCCTCCATTCCTTGGCAATCAAAACTCACGGAGTTGAAAAACTCAACTTGGACCATTCTATTACCGAATGACACCCTCGAAACTCTAAAGATCGGAGGACGTGTTGCGCCATTGGACACTCTATTACCGAATGACACCTTCGAAACTCGAAAGAGTGTTGCGCCATTGGCTCATGTAGTCAAATGTTTTGGCTCTCTCACCCGGCTATATTTGTGGGACAACATGTTGGATGATGACCCATTGCAGTGCCTAGAAAATCTCAACAATCTCGTTGTTCTGTGTCTATCAAATGCCTATTGTGGAAAGAAAATGAAATGCTGCGAAGGATGGTTCCCTAATTTGAAGAAACTATCCATTCAGCGTATGGGAAAGCTTGAGGTGTTTGAAATAGAGAAAGATGCAATGGAAGATCTCGAAAATTTCTTTGTTGGTTATTGTCCCAGATTACAGCCAACACGCGAAGGTTATCCACGATACATTGATGTTAGCAGAGACCTGGACAAGCTCAGACATCTGAAGCTTGTGCAAGCCTCTCATATGCCACTAGAATATGCTAAAGGGCTGGCATCAGAACTCCCCGGGGGTGCTCATGTGGTTCCGCAGAACGAGTTCAAAGATCAATTCCGGGGAGGAGGTCGGGTTATTAAAGACATAGGAGAGTCCTATATGCGGTTCAGACAATCCGAAAGATTTGAAGCAATGCGTGTAGAACAAATGCAAAGTGCACTTTCTGCTTTTCCTTATTTTCGTTGAGTGTCAGTCAAGAGGTGTGCATCATGCTTCATGCAATGGTTGCACAAAGAGATCTACCTGTGTACTTGGGTGATGCTATTACTAGAATGTCATCAACATTGTTTCAACCAGGAGATGCGCATCTCTGGTGGTGTAATTTGCTGCTTCTTTTTTTTTCGTTTTTGTCTTTGTTTTCGTTTTGGTCTGATACTTGTGACTTGTAAGCAGTAAAATGCTGGCCAAATTGCTGGAATTACTATAAGTTGTAGCAACTAGCAATCCATTTTGTGCTTAGGATTACAGTAACATAATGGTTTTATATGTATATCAAGTAATATATGTTTCTAACACAACTTAAGAGAATCAAAATGGATAACACGCAGTATAACGTTATTAAGACATTAACAGGACAAAAAATTAATATAGATCATGGGTTTTGTAGTAGCATATAAGGAAAAATGAAGCCTATAAACCACACGAGGCTCTCCAATCCTGATAAAATAACAAAAAACAAAACACCTTTGAAAGTCTTTGAAACCAAAGTCAGAAACAAAGCAAAAAAAAATGAACACGATCTCATAGTCCAATCTCACTCTCGTTCTGATCTTCAAATATTTTTGAATTACGTTCCTTCTAAATAAATAACTCAAAATATAGCAATAGTAGCACAATCCCATAAAATTGCATTCTTAACAGTCTTTTAAACCCTTTATCATCTATAATAATAAGATAGAGATAATTATGAATCCACTTTTATTTTAAAATTTATTCCACTTTTAATTCAATTGGAAAAGTACACGAATCAGATTTAATTTTTTTTTTTAATTCAATGACCCAAATTTCGTTTCAATTTATATAATTAAATCTGAAGGCTCACAATCCATCCCACGCACCCAAATACCAAAGCCCGCCCAAACTTTCTGTACGCCTAGCACAACTCTCATCAACATAAAGGATGTTCAAATTTTCGATTAGCTGCAATTTCTTATTCTATCCGACCCTATTGAATGACTAGCCGAAAAAATGAGATAGGAATACAGAAGAGTTTTTGGTCTTTCAATTAAATCGGATAGGAATGCAGAATAACTATTAATTTTCATATTCCTATCCTATCCTATTCGCATTAATTTATATAATGATTGATTAATTATTTATGTTTTTTTGTGTTTTATTATAATTGTTGTTGTAATTGTTTTAAATTTTAGTGTTATTAAATTGGGACATGTTATTTAATTGAATTATTAAAATAATTCAAAAATTAATAACTATAAAAGTGTTCACTCAATTTTCTATTCGACTTTTTATTAAATTAATTTGACCGAAAATCAAATAGGAATATCACACTTGAACGATAGGCCAGGAAAACTATACCACCTCTAATCAACAGTCAATAAGCTGCACACCACACCAGTCTGCCTTCTCGCTCACTTTCTCACCTTTCGCTCCTCTGCCGAAAAAAGACCCAGGCAACCAGACCCCCTCTCTCCTTCTCTCTTCCCGATCGCTCCTTTGCCATAGCTATCTCCCTTCGTCTCTCTCTCTCTCTCTCTCTCTCTCTCTCTCACAACTCACACACACAGTAGAAAACACACACAGTAGAACATCTGATTTCGCATCTCTACGAAGCAGCGACATTATGGCACTGGCTATAATTTTAAATAATAGATTAAAATTTTCTGCTGTTGATTGAATTTGATGATGATGAATTTTTACCATCAAGCAATAACATCTCCTCTTTCTCAGTTCATCGGCATAGACTTCTCTTTCTACGCCGCTACACAGCAACCGCCACTACTAGCGCCTATTTCAATTTTAGGTCTCTGTCTACAAGACGTAACCCCACCCGAAAGCCTCTTTCCAGTTACTCTCAGGCCCCTACACACCAGTTGTTCCATAAATTGCCAAGCTGATATTTTTGGTTTTAGAAAATGCCTTGAGCCCCTGTTAATTTTGATAAGTTTTTGTATTGGGTGTTTAGTTACACCCTCATAATTGTATTATTTGTTATTTTGAGCTGTGCGTGGATTTTCTATTATTATTGATGATACCTCAAACAAGCCTTAACTGTGAGCTCAAATCAGGAGGCTAGGTAAGACACGGAGAACTCAGAGAACCAAGGGTAGAGCTCCCTTTGGGGAGATCGTAGAAGAACCAACCAAAAAACAGTTAGATAACTGAGGAAATTGAGCCCAATACATGAAACTCTCAACCAACTAAGATTATCTCTTAAAATCAAGGAGTATCCTATGAATAATTGGCAAAGATCTTGGCTGAAATCCCACAAAATGGGGAGCAGCCTTATAAATACTATGTAACGCCTCATCGAGAAGGGGAAACCCTAGAAAAACCCTAATTAGGTCATGCATTGTAGTGTAATACATTCGAGTAATCAATAGAGAAAAAAAGAGCAAAAGCCTCCATTAGAGAGTGGACTAGCCGAGCTCCAGGGCCGGTGAACCACTATATTTCTATTGTTCAAATTCCTTTACCCCCTAAGAAACACTTCGTCACTGCCATTAAGAAGTGGGCAGCTTTGATTCATCTTTGGTCCCACGCATTCTGTTCGCCCACGTTAGTTTGACACCATCAGTTTGGTGCCGTCTGTGGGAACAGCTGTTCCTGTTATAAATAAGCTGATATCTCAGTGACTGATGATATCAACATGAAACATGAGCAAAAACCAAACAAACCCACTTTAGATGTAGGATCAACAGGGAGCCACCAATGGCAGACAGCTCGAGAACGTCCTAGAGAATGATCCTCCCATGGGGAATCCTCCCACGAATAACGAGATGGAGACCCTTCGCCTTGTCAATCAATGCTTGTTAAATCAAAACGAAGAGCTCTTGAAGCTCTTATAGCGCACATAGGAGGCATGTCCGGCCCAAGAAGGTCAAAACAGTCCCCATCACAAAGATCAACAACACCTTGATCCACTCAGAGAAGACAACGAAGGAGGGGAGAATAGCCAGACCTTGGGGTAGGTTCCCCAATTACCCCCTAGGAATGGCCACAATGAAGAAGTACAAAATCAAAATCATGAAGGTGAAAAGAATGATAACTTCCCTTTTCAACAGGAGAGAAGCGAACAATATTGAGAGCAACGTTTCAAGGGCATCCAACAGGAGCTCAACCACATCAAGGAAGCGGTCAAAAGTAAAGCTCCAGTTACAATGGACGCCTTAGTGCAGCAGACTGAATCTCCATTCATGCCTGGGGTGTTGCATTTTTCCCTCCTCCCAAAGTTCAGGATGCCACAGATAGAGTCCTTTGATGGAATCAGGGACCCCATGGACCACCTCAACACTTATAAGAACTAGATGGAGTTGCACGGGTACCAGGACCCCGTACGCTGTTGAGCCTTTGCCCTCACTTTAAAGGGTTCAGCCTTGGCATGGTTTAATAGGTTTCCCCCGGCCTCAATCTCTTCTTTCAAAGAACTTTCCATTTTCTTCGTATCCCACTTCATAGGGGCTCGAACCTAGAGAAAGTTGAGTTATCATCTTTTGAATGTAAAACAGGGACCTTAAGAAAACCTCAGGTCTTATGTCTAAAGATTTAATTTGGAGTCGTTAAAGGTGGATGTCCCAGACGAAAAGTTCGTCATTATTGCCTTCATAGTTGGTCTAGGGGTGCAATCTAAAGATTTGATGTTCTCCATATCAAAAAATTCCTAAGCAAGCATGGCCAAGGTGCTTGCCAAAGCAGAGAAATATATAAATGGTGAAAAAGCCCTTCTTTCTAAGGTAGGGAGCTCTTCTGCACATAGAGATTAGAGAAAGGAAGAGAAAAAGAGGAATCGAAGTCCCAGGAGAGAGAGAGAAATAAACAAATCTTCAAAGAGAGATAGATCTCTTAGAAGAGATAAAGAGTGATCCCCAAAAAGAAGGGGGAACGTTAGGGACCGCTTAGGACCCCCGTAACCTGAACTACAGCCGAGGTATGCACCTCAGCAATATACCCTTCTCACTGCAACAGTGTCCCAAATCTTGTACGAGGTGTAGAATAAGAAATTCCTAAAGTGGCCTCCATGAATGAAGACAAATCCAATTAAAAAAGACCCTACAAAGTATTACAAGTATCATAGGGATCATGGCCATCACACCGACGATTACATTCAGCTAAAGAAGGAGATTGAGTTCTTGATCCAGAAGGGGCAGTTACGACGATTTGTCGCCCATGACAACCAGAACAGGGCTCCACCACCACCGGTACCTCAGCAACAAGCTCCTGCATAGCACCAGCAACCCTTAGGGGAGATCAGAGTGATATCTGGAGGATTTGCTGGCAGTGGAGAATCCAGTGCAGCTAGGAAAGCACACCTGCACAAGATTAGAGCTGGCGAAGCGCTAGAAGTGCACACCGTGTCCAAAATACCTCGGCTGAGCACAACCATCACTTTTTCAAATTCAGACTTGGAAGGTTACTAGTATCCCCATGATGACCCGTTGGTGGTAAGGGCCATTGTGGCTAACCAAACAGTTAATCGAGTTCTAATTGACAATGGGAGCTTGATCGATATCATTTTTGCCTCTGCCTTTGACAAAATGGGCATAGGAAGGGAGAAGCTTGAGCCAGTAAGTGCACACTTAATGGGATTCTCAGGGGAGAGGGTGCTACTCTTGGGATTCATCCAACTCGTGCTCACTATGGAGGACCTTCCTTGCCAAGCCACCACCACTGTGAAATTTTTGGTGGTTGACGCCCCTTCTGCGTACAATATGCTACTTGGGAGACCATCCCTCAACGCAATGAAGGCTATCCCCTCAGCATATCACTTGGTCATAAAATTTTCTACAGAAAATGGAGTTGGAATGGTCCAAGGAGACTAGCGAATAGCCAGGGAGTACTACATGGCCTCGATGAAGTAGAAAGAGGTTAAAAATATCCAGCTAGATGAGCTTGACATGAGGGATGAGCTGGACACTAGGTCTATGTCGTCAGAAGAGCTAGAGCCAATCTAGCTCAATGAAGAGCCTGAACATATTGTTTACATGAGATATAAGTTGAGCAGAGAAATG